CACGTGAGCTATTAATTAAGACGGAATCCACAAGAAAACTGAGTAATTTTAATTTTCAGTGAACAAAAACTTTGTACCATAATGGTTTAAAGAATATTGAATTTTTTTTTTTACATTTTTCAAGGGCTATAGATGTAACTAGTTACGCGTAAGAACATCAAAGAAAATTTTGTCATGGGAACCAGAGAACATGAATGTCTAATTTCACAAGAATCGTGAAAACACTAGGAAAATTTTGAAAATTTCATGAGGAAGATGTCATTTTGTGAAGTTTGACATTTATTTTCTCGGGCTCTCATACGAGATTTTCTTTGGTGTTATTGCACATAACTAATTACATCTAAAGCTCTTGAAAAGTGTCAGAAAGAATGCAATATTCTTTAAAATATTCTGGTACAAGGTTTTTGTCCACTGAAAATTAAAATTGCTCTATTTCCTGACAGATTCCGTGTTAATTTTTTTCCCCACCTTCGCTGACGTTCGTTCTCGCTGGCTCGCGCTGGCGTCTCCGCCGCCAAAATTTTTCTCGAATTCGCATAAGTGATCGCCCTCGCAGGCTATCACCTAATAAACACCCATTCTTGTTAAGGAGCTGCGGCAACTAAGACAGCGACGGCAACGGAAACGTGAAAGAAGGATAGTTTTAGTTAGAAAACATAACAACTTTGGTCGTGCATCACGCTTTTCTGTCCAATTTTATGCCAACTCTGCACAACTTAGTTCTCTGAGAACGTATACGGCAAAACAATACATTTTACTGTATCTGTCTAAGTTTGGGCGTGGTCCCCTTTCTTCAGCCCTATTAAAATAAATTTCCCAACTTTTAAATAAATGAACGAGTTGGAATAATCGCAGTCTCACACGCAGCTGTTCTTTCACGCCTCCTCTCCTCCTCCCTGTCTTTGGGGAGAAGCGTGCGTGACAAGACGAAGAACGGCTATGTGGGACACCACCCTTAGAGCAGAGCATCCTTTTGTTTCTTAATGGAGGAAGAGAAAAGGAGGCTCTGTCAAATTGCGTCAAACCTTTGAGGTCGAAACAGCCCGAACGTCTGGACTAGTCAATCTTGTAGAGTCTTTTTCGAGTACACCAAGATTGAGCAAGCGAAAGAAAGGTTCGGCTGACAGGGTGGTCGGACACTAGAATAATCGTTATATAATTTGGAAAGAAGAGAAGTCAGTTTTTCAGTGGCGTATATGAGCTAGGCTGGCCTGGTTTGGTGGATTGCCGAGGTGACTTTTGTCCGGATATTACTTGACGCGGCCAGCTTGGAGCCGCCATGCTTATAGAATGCTTACAGCTAGATTTAAAGCAGTGCGCATGAGCAGTGTGTTGCTTGCTGTCTTCTTGCCTGTTTGGTTGACACGGATGGCCCTGGGAGCATGATCACGATTTCCAACCCGCGCGCTATTTGCTTTTAACTAACGTGCGCAGATGCCACTGATGCCGGTCCAGCCCGGCTCATGTCATCAGGCCCTTAAAATGTGAATTTTCATTACGACTATTCCACTTCGTTCAGTTTGTTAAGGTGAAATTTCTGGGGTTAAATTCTTAAGGACCGTTTGCAAATGTAGAAAAAGACAAACAAGATCGTCATAAATATACTAAAAAACGTGCTGCAGGTGCAGAATCTGTTGTTTTTCTTACTACCCATTGCTTTTTTTGTCTTTCAAATCCCGTTGCCGTCGCCCTCGTAACACAAATTAGAGCTCCACACTTACACCAAACTTTCGCTAAGACAAAAACCTTTAGAACCGGTAAAAAATGTCCTGACAAAGAGAGGTAACTGTTTTTTAAAGAAGAATCAATGAATTTATGAATGAAGGATGGCAGAGATCAACCCAGATGTCATTAGGGAGCCGGCTTTAGCATCGACGACGGCGACGGCAGTGAAAACGTCACTTTTAAAGTGGATTCGCGTTTTTTCAAACTTTGTGGCGTTTATTCCAAATTTCTGAAAATGTTAAATGTAGGCAAATGTCCAGAAATGATTTCTTGGGGACCGTACTCAAATTTAGAAAAAGAATGAGATATTCCTAGTCGCTTGTTTACGTCCTCCAAAAAACGTGAAATTGGGCATTTTCACGCCGAAGTCGTGCAGTGACGTGCAAAGTTGTTTTTTCGCTAATCAAACCTATTGCTTTTTTGACGTTCTCGTTGCCGTCCCTGTCTTCATTGCTAAAGCTCCCTATTTTATAGAAGTGTTCTTCTTTAAGACAGCTGTTAATAGAAGATTAATTATATTTATTGCATTTTTTCGCAGTCCATTAACTGTTTATTTCTATTTCTCCATTTAGCTCAAGACATTGATGACATCTTACAAGCAACAGTACGCAGCGAATTTCAATGTTAGTGATCAAACTCCCCTGTGTATGCCTCGATGTTGTGCTTGCCAGCTTTGACCAATCTTGACCCCAGAGCCCTTAGAAGCGTAAACACTGGTTTTGAGGACATTACTCTCTGTGCTTTAAGTGAACGACACACGACAAAACGGAAGTTTGTTCAGCAGATATGCAAAAAAGACCAGAGGTTTTAACGTGATACACATTTCTCTACGGAAGTCTAAACCTAGAAATAGGTGTATTTTAGAACCTCACAGAACTCGTGGGGAGGGGCATAAAATGTCAGGGATGGGAGGGCGGAAGAAAATGGAGAAAATTGTTTGACTGGGGAGGACAGGTTTCAAAACTGGCCCTTAATTGGAGAGTGAGATGTACTTAATCTCCTTTTGGTTGGAGCCGGTAAATTTGAACCCAGTGCTCTGTCTTTAAAAGGATCTTCTGGGATTTAAATGGGGTTGCTGTTGTTAAGGAGGAGTAGCCAATGTTGCATAAGTACCGTGTTCACCCCATTTGGCACTCCTACGTGTGTAATTATAGTCAAAAGGAAATGTGTGATAGTGGAAAACTGCAGGCTATTATGCAGTTGCGTTTTCTTAATAAAATCTACCCAATGCCATCTGTAATAATGAGTGTAATAATTGTTTGTGGAGTCTATTATATCAATGGAATAGGTGCCTGAAGTCCAATTATGTTGTTTGCAAGGCAAAATTAAGTAGAATCGAGTCACTTTAAGGTGACTCGACCCAGTTATTTTGTGAGGGTACCATCCGACTTTGAAGCTCCCTGGTATCCCCACTTTTACTCTGATCGTAAGTCTAACATATATCATGGATAACATATAGATCAAGAGAGGATAAAGGGGACAGAGAAGGCATCCCCCATACACACCCTATTCCATAGGTAATTCGTCTCGAGTTATTTTTAAGACCATAAATCCCAAGGGGGGATAGACAACAACCAATCACATAGCGCGAATGTGTTCCGCGTGGATGACCCACGCTCAGAGCCACGCGTCCTTCACGAATTGGCGCAGAAAAAAATGGCAGAAGACGCGGAGAGCGATATTGCTATTTGTTTTGTCGACGAAAACGACTAAAGAGAGATTTCTACTAAAGCTGTGTCAGCGAAACGGAATTTAAAAAAGAATCGCCCTTCCGCTCTTGTATAGAGCTAACAGTACAGCAGGGAAATCCTTAACACACTGAATATTCTCTCAGGATCATTTATAATTTACAGTTTGAAGAGAGCACTTTCTGGTTTGATATTTATTCTCTTATTAGTCTCGTATTATTCAACAAAAATAACGCTTGGCGTGCTACTTGCTTTATTATACAAACGACCGGTTTCAATAGACCGGCGAAATTTCTCATTTTATTAAAGCACTGAGGTTACGACAACTTCGAGTTAAACTGATTTCACGGGTTGTCAAAGAGTCTAGCGATTCCCTTTTTCCAGGTGAGCGCCGACTTATTTCGCTTCAATATTCAGAAATGCTCTCGATCTCTTTACGCTTTCATTGCCTTTCGCCCGACATGTTTTGCGCGGCGTTTAGTCATGCGGAACCTCCACGTAACATCCACGCAGCGCGCGAATTAACTTTATCCCGATTCTAAAAATAACTCGAGACGAATTACCTGTGGAACAGGGTGTGTATGGGAGATACCTTCTCTGTCCCCTTTATCCTCTCTTGATATAGATCAATCTACAATACAGCATAAAATTTTTGGCGATCGGAGTAAATGTCACGTGGTTATATAGTGCCACGCTTCTTTGGGGTCTGAGTCGAAATTCTGCTGTTGCCGGCATTTTTTCGTGAAAAATAGTGCTTATTAGTGCCTTGCGTTGAACAGAGTTTCACCAAAATCGCAAAGATCCAATGCGAGAAATTCAGCGGTTTCCAAATTTAGGTCATAATTTATGCGAAAATGATAAGCAAACTTTACACGATTTTATCTAACAAACTATAAGATTTATACGTTTATTTTGGGGATCTTTATAACAGATGGGTCCTTGCAAGTCAGCAAAAAGCTTTAGGGCCTTGTAAATGGGCGCGATTTCGACCAATGCAAACATATACAAATTATAGTGTTAGCTATTCGTTGACGTTCGTCAGCGTTAAAGAGTGCTTCTCACGAAAAAAGCATTTTCTTAAAAATTCGTTGTTTTTTTCCTTCAAATTTTTTCAGGGCCACAATTGATTAACTAACTACCCGGATTCTGGATTTCATGATCATTGAAAAACTGTGACATTATCGGCAGCGCTTGTCGAACTTAATTGCTTGCCGAACTTAATTCAAAAGTTTGATTCAGACGTCGTGCTTCTGCCGTGCTTTTGTCGAACTTAATTCCTGAATTTAGTTCGGCACGGCAGAAGCACGACGTCTGAACTGGGTCTCAGTCGTCTTAGCCTGTGCCAGACTCTCAGATAGTCCAGATAGTATAGTGCGGACGTATTAAAACGAGCAAAGCGAAAATAAGACACGCGCGACTTGGAGGTGGCGCCGCCCTGTCTCTCCCCAGCCCCCGCGCGTTTTTCGCATTTCTTTTTACTGAACGACTTTTCACCACTATCTCGGAGCCTGGAACAGGCTACAGTCGTCTGAGAGCGTTTCCATGTGATCGCTTCAGAATTTACAGGATCGTCCCGATCGTCCGGAT